CGTTTTTTCCGGGCTCGTTATTATTTTTGTTTGTCAAAAAAATAAAATCGTAACAAATACTTGGAAGGGTATTTGCAAAGAGGAAGACCAAAAGCGAATTAAAAAACAGCAGGACGTCCTGGTAGGGTTGTGTTTTTTTAGGCGACAGCTTACAAATGTATATGCATATGTGTACATATGTACCTAAGTGTATGTGTATGCAGCCATTAGTGGGTTTGAATATATTGTATAAGATACGAGTATACCCTGTAAGTAAATAAACTCATACATCATACAACAATACTAGATTTTGAGTTATATTTTGAAGCAGATGAAGAGGGAGTAAAAAGCTTAAAAATCCGGTTTTTATCACCTGAACGCGGTATATTAAGAAGTTTTTAAAAGCCAGAGGCAAATGTTGGAAACCTTATAAGTTATATACGTATATAAATGGTCAGCGTGATGAGTTGACTCGTTTTAGCTGTGTCAATCTGTTCGTCTTTATATAAGCGAACTTGTCCCACAGTTTTTGAGATATCGCTTTGAAATTTTGTACACGCACTTTTCTCCCTAAAAAGTTGCTAACTTGCCGGTGTGATACAAATTGATCAATCATAATTAAGTCCTTGTATGGGAAACTTTTTTATTTCTTCATAGATTATTCTCCAAAAATTTTTTTATTTGTCATGGCTTCTTCCTACCAGTATGGCACATAGCTGCCGTACAAACTGACAGCTCAATATCGAGCTAAAGGTCATTGTATATACCTTTATGCTATAAGAAATTCCACTATGAATTCCACTATGCCTATAGTTCCTATCCTAGGATTTATATAATATATTATATTTCACATTTTGAATTGTATTTTTTATTTAAAAGATAACATATTATATTTACATTATATAATATGTTATATATTATAATTTTTATTTTATCGTTGTTTTACCAACATCGAAAATCAAAAAAAAAAATTGATTTTACACCTTTGCTATGCAACATTAATTGAGCAATTAACTACTGACTAAACCATTTTCCTACAGGGTAGCACATACACACGCCGCTTAACCACACATATTCCATTAATGGCAACAACTCAGTGAGTTGGTGTTCAAAACTATGTTTGTCTCCTTGTATTTGAGCGCAATTTGCAAATTGGTTGACACCATTCCAACGTCAAAAACTAAATTTGTAGCATGCGAATGCCCAGTTCGACGCTAACAATCATACACACATACTTGCACACACACACATGCCGGCATACGTGATAACAAAAGCGACTAACCAAGCAAATCGACATTTCGCATAACAATGAATGCCATAAACAGATTAACGATAACGACACACGACAGTAGTGTGGCTGCAACGGCAGTGGTATGGCAATCACCAGAGTGGCACCACTCGTCCAACAGACTAACTTGGGCGCCAAGCGAATTCATTTGAATTCGTCATTAGGAATCAAATATGAAAACGACTATGAAAAATATTCTCTGACACGCACTCGATGGCGGAAGAGTTAAGTGGACTCAGTATGTGTTTGGGCATATGTGTGTATGTGTGGGTGTGCGAGTAGCGAAATTTGTAAACACATAATGACTCAATTTAGCCGCGCTATCCCATGTGACGTACAACGCGAGCAAACGACGACAACAACCAACAAACAGCATGCAATCAGGCAAGTGACGAGCCAATGGATAAGGTGAAAGAAGTGCGACAACTGTGGTGGTCATTAAGTGGCATTTACGTAGAATTGTTTACTGTCCGCATGTGTGAGTGTATGCGTGTTTATATCGGTGTGTTGGTTGCGACGGCGGCGCAGAGCAGCAGACAAGGCGTAGCTGGACGGATTTCCATGTAATCAGTTTGTGTGTGATTAACACGTATGCGCCACACACACATCACACACACATAAGCGCACTAATGCGTCCGCCGACATCACGACTGAGCGCATTTTAAATTAATATTATTTGTATGTGTACGGTGGTGGTGTGGGGTGGCGTAGTGTCGGCGCTTTTTATAGGGTTGTTAGTGGCCGGATTATGAATCGTTGTGTGCGTGGCTGTGTGTATGTTCACTTTTTATTGCAATGAATGGCCAAATCACTTTTTTTTTGCACTTCAGCAAATGAGTGCGAATCCATGTCGAGGATTACTTTGTTAAAGCGTTTGTTTTCGCTAGAATTGCAGCTGCTAACCGAAACTCCGCCGAGTCATTATGGTGCAAAAGGTGCGAGATTAATATATTGCTGGCAGACTATTAGTGCTTCGTGTGTAATTAGAATTAAATTTAGGGTCTGGAGTAACGATTAGGTTTCATAATGCATACAGTTGTGCTGCTATTATCCGAAACTGGCCAATGTTTGCTGAAAAAAATCGTTTTGTAGCGGCCCTCTGATATTTTTCAGAAATAAATTTGGCAAAGCTGACAGAAGTTGTTCAAAACCAATTAACGTTTTAACATAAACAGCATCAGCGCTTAAGTGAGCGGACGAATGCATAAGCTTTTAATTGCTTCCTGTTGGTTGTTTTAGAAATTGTACCGAAGAAATGAAAAAAAAGGCTCTTCTGATCTGACGATTTTTAAATCGATGACTCGCATAAAAAAAAAATCATATATTTATATCATGCACGGGGCATATTAAGTTTGCCACAAAGTTTGTAACACCCAGAAGGAAACGTTGGAGACCCTACAAAATACTATATTTATGTATATGTGAACAGCATAACGAACTAGCCGTCAGTTTTTCGGATACCGATATGATATTTTCCACTCGCTGTCTCCTCACTAACAGGCTGCTTGTTTGTCGTAACCGCCAATATCGGGCCACCATAGCATAGAGCTGCCATATAAATCGACCGCTAGAACTGAGGTCCCTGTATGGGAAACTTTTTTTGGTTGACGATGTATCTTCACGAAATTTGGGACAAATTATTTTCCAGAATAACTCTACAATTGCCTTGATCGGATCACTATCACATATAGCTGCCATAAAAACTGACGGATCAAAATCAAGATAACGATCTTTTTATGCTCTTTTATGCTATAAGGAATGCACCTGTGGAGCATATTACAGCTTCAGTGCAGCTTGTTTTGTTTTAGTTCAGAAATCCATTAGAGGAGAAATATGGATCACATCAGGTTTAGAACTCTATCTCCAAAAATGATGTTGATAGAAAACAAAAATGATATTGATAGACAGAACTATAATTGGAAACTGAGACAAGGATATAATCTTTTGTATAGACGACTTCTCATGTGGGTATTACAGTTCAAAAGAAAATATTCAGAAGCAATTTGGAAAACTTTTTGGTTTCGATTCATGACATATAGTAAACTGCTCTGTCTCGGCTTTTCAAAGCCATGCTAATGTTGCAAGTGCATAAACATATTAAAAATTTGATTATAAAGAGAAAGAGTAGTATGGTAATTAGAGGTCATTAAATTTTGCAGAAAAGCAGTCTCTATTTTTTGAATGTTGAAAATAATTTTTAATTACTTCGAGAATATTTTTTTTTACTTATCGTATTCGATTTTTGATGAAACTTGATTATGGCTGTTAAAAATGACTTGCTAATGAATGGTTGGAAAGATGTATTTATAATTTTTACGGATCAATAGAATCTCAACTCAGAACTTAAGAGATTACTTGTGTCATAATATGGACAGCAATAATCGAAATTGAGTAGTTTAGATGGCATTGAGTTACATATCAGAAAAAAAAATATTTTACCGGAAGAAATCCAATTCGTTTACCTGGAATCGACTGTCGCAGAAATCAACATGATACAGGGTTGCATTAAAGTTCTAAAATCCTTATTGCTGGCAACTTGCAAAGCAGAGTATGCTGGAGTATGGACCATGAAGGAAGAAATGCTTGTTGGCCACAACATCGTTAAGTTAAAGAAATTTGCTCACATTTTCTTAGGGAGCCTGGGAAACGTTGAAATGTTTTCGAAGAAATCAGAAAACAGACAGCTACTTGAAGCAGATTGACCTCCAAAAATCGCTTTCTAAACTATGTTCATGTAATTTGGGATCTATCAGGATATACTAGGAACGAGTTGATCAATAAACTGGGCTAGGAAATGAATAAACCTCTTCCCTAAAACACCAAAGAAAAAATTAGTGCTTCATGAAGAGGGCGTATTTTTTGCTCAAAAGCTTATAAATTGATGCAGTAGTATATTCTATATTAAAATTTTGATATCCTCAGCCTTCATATAGAAAATCTTTTTCTTTGATCCAACTCAATTGAAAAAAGTTTAATTTGTTGAACCTGTTGTTGGGTCACGTCGATAACAAGTCTAATTCTTTGTTCCCATACAACCATTTAACAAAAACTATTAAATTTTATAATTCCTTTTGGCAAATACACGTACTTCTGCGCGAACTGATATCTTATAAAATAATAATAAAAAAATAAAAAAGAGCTAACGGGTCGCTCATGCAACAAGTGGCAAGCCAAAGCAATCGCAATCAAGTTTCTTCCCAGCAACAAACACAGAGCACGGAATACATCGGTGAGTAAGTAAGTGCGCTTGTGCGCAGATCTAAAAATTTGATAAATCGCCAGACGCGATCGAAGCGATAAATTATTACGCCATCGATTGTTATGGCAGTGGATATCGGCGCAACGCGAATCAAGTGGGCAGATTAAGATAGAAATAGGGTAGGAAAGAAGCGAATAAAAAATTCGACGTTTTTAATTGAAAAGTGAAGAGCAAAAATAAATGTGCGCAATAAGAAAGATGAGATAACCGTCGATCGTATAGTTAGTGGACAAAATAGAGGTAGGCCTAACTGATATCCACCACACGAAAGCGAAGCTAGCGCCAATGTGCTGCTCTCATAAATCCTCATTTCACAATAAATTGCTGTTGAGACAGCAAAAATGCGAAACCCACCCAACGCCAGTAGTGTGGACACAGCCCACTTTTGCCTAGTAATCGGCTATTGTTATTGTTTGCTATACTTTAACATTCATAGACGTGTATATGCAGTTAGCTTTTGCGCTGATTACTCACCAATCGATCCATCTAGCGAGTAGGCATTGCGCTGCCATGCCCACGTACATAAATCACAGGTGGTAAGTCCGTCCGCGGCGACGCCGTCATCCAGGAATGGTGGGCGTGGTGGTGGCGGTACAAAACGCCCATTCCACAAACCATTCTCGCTGCTATCGAACGCGAGCGGCGAGTCGAAAGTGTCCTCTTCGATGGCATTCGACCACCAGTCTGCATCGTCTTCGGGCAGGTAATTATTACTCGCCGCATCTGCGGCAGCTAGTGGACTAAAGCTGCTGCTGACGCTGCCACCGCCACCGCCACTGTCAGCATCCATCGTCGCTGTGGCAGCGAAATCATTGGTGTTGGTCGAGTCGTACGGCGATTGCAGCTGATTGCCGAAAGCGGGCGATGGTGTGACGGAGCCGTCGTGAGACTGTTGGTGGTTGAGGTGCGTGTGATGATGCACATTTTGCGCGCTGTTGCCGCCGCCGCCGCTGTTGCCGGATAGCGAGTCAAGTCGCGAGTTCGGGAACACTGTGCGCACAGTGGTGGTGGCACCGAGAAAGATATCCGCTCCAATTGGACCGGGCAGGCGGGGAAACATTTTCCGTACTGAGTTGAGTGGTGACAGCTGTTGCCAAGCGGATTACTTTGGCAGTAGCTGTCACTGGTTGACGCTTGGCAGTTGGCGGCTACGAAGTAGCTTTGCTTTTTTTTATTGTTTTAGTCTATGATTAAGTGCCGCAACTGTTGCCTTTGGGATCTGCAAGAGAAAGAAGTGTGGTTTGTTTGAGTTGAGAAGATTAGTGGCAAGGATTTGGTTATTTGTGAAATGTGTATGTATTATATCAATTTTGGTGTAGTATGGTGTTAGGCTGAAGAGAGGGCTTAATCAATACAGTTGAGACATGAGTTCAGTGATTTGGATTCTGCGGCAACGATTGTATAGGAAGTGTTTCCCAGAGAATTTTTTTTGGCATTACTATCAACTGTCTTCCACGGTAGTTTAATTTGACAAAAAAAGAATTTTGAAAAAATTTTTAAGATCAGAAATCTCTCGGCTAGATTATGGACAACTAATTGTATCCTTCTTTGTCGAGTCAGCGAGACAATCTTCTTGTAGTAATAAATAAATATCAATATATTCTATCCTTAGAAACTACGATTTGACTTTCCACATGCCTTAAACCTAATCAATCTCTAGGTACTTGAAATATATTGTGCTGAAAATTTTTCAGATTTTCTCTGAGACTTTTATGCTTACAATTTCCTCGCGATCTGGAAAATTTTGTCCAAGATATTTGAAGTAGAAAATTATAAGGTGACTCCAGAGCGCGATCTTTCACTCATTGCGAAAAACGCTTCACCCTCAACAGAAGGTTTGTACGAAGAGATTTTTCGAGTTCACAGAGCGAGTTCGAATTTGTTCTTGCCCCATTTCTGACCTAATAAACTTTACTGGGCCAGATCCTTCCTTCAATGGAAAACCTCAGCTGAGCCGTAGTACATGTCTTGTTGATATAGTCTTCAATATACTTTAAGTTTTCGAAACCGCAATTAGTTTAAGAATAAATATTTGCGATACGGAATAACAACTGCCACTCCTGCTATCCTACCTAGCTCACGTTCCACCACTTCCCGTGACACGTACAACAAAATTCGTGCAACTTTTACACTTTTTACACCAAACTTCAACAACGAATGCTTCGGTTTCGTTCTGCGTTCAATGGCGCTAATAGGCGCGAAACGCTATAAGCTCTCTCGCCGCAAATAGTGCGAGTGCCTGTGACTTGCTCGCTAGCGGTAGTTAGTCTGGTAGTGGTCTCTACGAGCGCGCGCATTATGATTATATCAAGCAGCGGTTCATAATTGTGCGAATCATTGCGGCGTTTGCGGTTGGATCGAAGCGTAAAAATTCGATTTTCTCAATTCATAATTTTTTCTGGTGCTCTGCTTTTGTGGTTACCACTGCGACTTGTTGCCGGTGTACTCACTCCATCAGCATTCGAGCACATACATAGCACTTCACTGGTTTATGACCAGAACGAATTGGTTTTTATTCGCAGCTAATACTTGTACCGCAGACGCAAACTTTTCAGTATGCTGGAGCATTTCTTACGCCTCTATCTAATTGTTGTTGTTGTTTGATGCCTGTTGCCCACATTTCCTGATTTATAATTTTTTAAGACGAATCAATCACAATGATTATGATAAATGATTATGGCATTGTTGTTGTGCGCATGTGGTTATTTACTTTGTTGTTGTATTTTTTGTTTTGGCTTTTAACTTTTTTGTTGTAATTGGCTTTAGAGAGTTACACTTGCGGTGGCTTGTTCGTTCGAATGCGCTGGCTAATGATCCAAAACGAATGTATATGTGTGTATATATAATATATATTATATCTATATATCTTTTTCGGGGTTTAATGGCGCGAAAGCGTTCACTTTCACATAAAATTTGTAAGCATTTATTTGAATATTTCTCATAATTTCGTAATATGCGTTGTTTGGGCGTTTTTTGCTTACTTCAAAATATCAATGGCTTTTGTGCGCTGCGTGTAATTTCATTTGATTGCAATCGATTTGTGGTGTAATCAGTAATAGATCCAATAAACCAGCTTTGTGTATGACCTCAATTGAAATAAAAAGTATGAAATATACAAAATTAGACTTGAGTTCATTTCGGTTTGGTCAGAGTGGGCTAAGGAGACTGAAGGTGTTTTTTGTACAGCCTACCACAGATATCATTTGAAGAAGTGCACAATTTTTTTTATCTAATCCACGGCCATTAAAATCACTTGTGTTTCAAAAAATAATATATTTTCCCAATGCTGAAAAATTCATTAAAAATCAGTTTCCATGACGAAACCGCTAGACTTCGCTGGGTGATACATAACAGACTGTAGAGTCAGGTTTTAGCATTTGAAATTATATAATGATAAGGTATATATATCTAGACCTAAAAGTTTAAAATCTATAACATTTTGACAAAGATAAAAGATAAGTAATATTTTCCAGGTGCGCTCAATGTAAAATTGTAATCCGAGCTCATATCATTTTCTAGCTTATATAGTTTCAAGTAACCCAAAGAAAGTTCGACATCTAAAAGCTTGCCTAAATAGAGTCATCTGATAACTGGTCGCCACTTCTACATTCAAATATTACTCTTTTCTTAACAATTAGGAAGTAAATCGTAAATTTTGGCTTTGTATGACGATAATCTCGTATACCTTTAGTTGAACCTAGTGAATTGGCTGGTATTAATATTAGCCATACTAAAAAAGTTTCTAATATGCTCAAAACGCTTGGTCGCTTTATGAGCGTCTTTCAATACACACCTTGAAGCTTTAGGTAACACAAAGAATCAGAATTTACAGCTCTCTACGTGGCATTTTTCTCTATCTCTGGTGCTAGGATCAGCCTTATTACCTATCCTAGAGAGAAACTTTTTACCAATGCTTCCAATTTTATTGGAACGTCAACAAGTGTCCGAAGTACACAAGTATTATGATTTTAGTATTATCAACTTTACTTAGAGGAGTAGTTGGGCCTATTATAAAACTTATCAAAAAGTATAGAATATAATATATAATAAAATTTGATTTTTTTTTTCACATACATACACACATAGTCCATATTATTGTTCTCACACAGCTTACAAAGCTCCAAAAAATCAGCTCAGTTATAAATATAAAAAATTTACTGCCACAGCCGCGGCAATCATTGGCCAAAATCTTGTTAACAAGCTTCATTAACGTCATTTTTATATAACCTGTTGATATATAGTCGCCTAAGCGCGCCAACTGACGGATCAGCCTGCCAGGCAGCCAGTCGTAGCGCTGGCGACGCATGCAAATGCAACAACCACAAACGTGGTAGGTGCCTATGTGTTGCACGTTGCTGATTGTCGGCTTTAAAATCTGCTAGCGCTCAAATATATGCTGTTAGTTTTTTTGTTGTTATTAATACAAGTACACGTACAAGCTGATGGCAACTGTTTTGCATTCACCACTCGTACACGTTATGGCAGCGGCAATTTTTCGGCGCGGCCGCCAGACGGCTTGTTGCTCTTAATGTTTGCCGATTATTTCGTTCATAAAATTGCCGCTTGCATGAATTGTTTTATACTTTAGTAAAATACATATTTTTTTTGACGAAGTCTTAATTAAAATTGGCATTTCGGTGGCGTTGATGTTTACGTTGACGTTGGCGTTGACTATTGCTGCCGTAATGACGGTAATATTGTTATGGTGTACCTGTTATTGCCGGCATTTAATCGGTACACAATAAACTAGGCGTGTGACTGATATAAGACAGCATCGGCGTGTGCATCTGTGTAGGTAAGTATGTGTGCATGTTGCTTGTACACGCCCACGTCTGTCGATTAAGCGGCGTAACGTTTTGAGTGCTTGTTTTCGGCTCTTTAGTTGGCATTTAGTGGCGGGTTCGCCTATTCGACTTTCTTGTTTTGGAGATATCGTTTTGGAAAAGCTGCAATTTTGCTGCAAATGTTCACTTTAAGCTTCCAATTTAGAGCTAGCTATGACTTAATTTTACTTTATGCAAAAAAATGATTATAATTTCGTTTTAATTATAATATCGTTTAACTTTATCGCGTTACTTTTTGGAGAAGCAGAGATTCGAATGGTTTGTCTCTTAGTGACAGCAGCGCCACATGATCAATATTATGGTTTGATGTCTGGAAATATTGCTTTCAACTCTCAATACATGTTATCATCGAAAAAGTTAAAGAAATAATGTGTGAAAATCTTCGTGTTGGCATCAGAGCAATAGTGGAGTATCTCAACATCCCTAAAATCCAACCAACACAATTTAGGCCTTTTAGGGTTCAAATTATTCCATATTGCTTTGCCCTTATATATAATTACCCAAACAACTCCTTATGTGCTTAAGCGAGGCACAGGAGTTTGATATGGTCAATGAATATCGCTAGTATGATGAATTCTGCAAACTTTAGGACGACATCAATATAGTTTCGCGAATTGAAGCCAGCTGTTGTGCTTTCTATGTCAACTCTTGATGAGAGTTTTTTGAAGAATATACATAAAATCTGAATGAGACTTATTGAAAGTAATCAAATTCACCAATTAAGAAAAGTAACAAAAATTTAAAGTACGTTTTTGAAAACTTTCAGGGAGCGCCAATCTTGGATATCCTAATTTGAATTAACACTAAAAATTCTGAAAGGCCTGTCAGATCTTCGAAATTCAAACTTGCATGCTACATATATAAATATGTATATCTCTGTAATCTACCATATATACAAGTAGTTGAGAATATGAAAATTGCGGTTATATCAAATTGTAAGCAATAATCGCAATAACAACTAGTATACTACTTTTATAAAGAGTGAAATTCCACGTATTTGATGAAGGCATATTTGCTTATCTTATATTTATTTCGCACACACCAGCATTTTTCACCAATAACGAGCGATTTAGTCTTAACCGCAATCGATTGAAGGTATTATTTCATGCGATTTTTTATGCGATTGTTTTTTTTTATCCGGCAGTGATCGTGATCACGTCTTCATCATAAGTGGTTAAGTTGGCGTTGGTTTTCAATTTCATTTTCATATCCAAGTGGGCACCGGGATTTATAGTCATATGTACCATTTGTAAGTATGTACAAGTATATATAATATTGGTACCGCTGATCTGTTGGCCTCTGCCACACAGTGTTGCCAATAAAAGCTCAGCGTTGATTGTGTCAGAATGTGTCAGAAACGCAGACAAAGCTGCTT